TCAGCCTTGACATTTATCAATTCATCTAACGTGATTCATTCAGATGACGGTTTATATTCTCAGTCGCAAGAGGGCGTTGTTCCTCATATTCGGAAACCAAATCTTTCTCTCGACCAATCAAATCACGTTATGCAAATTCGTGCTTTAAGTTTCTCACCGAAAGAGGGCGTAGAAATATGCTGTTCAAGTGCCGACCAATCAGAGACGGGTATGCAAATTAATAATCGTAGACCAGTTTCGCTCGCTTTAAATCATTGTCTCCGACCTGAATCGATAAAAGATAGTCACAACTCTTTCTTCTCATCTTTTCCTTATTCAACAAATCAACCTCAAAATCTCATCATGAACTCATCTCATCTTATTGTACCACCAGTTACTTCCCCCCAACCTACTGCCGACGACTCACATTCTCAACTAGTTCACCCCCCTGACTCACAACCACTACTCAACTCGGCGGCGGAACGGACAGACCTCCTCTCATTTGTGGAAAACTTTCCTTTGAGTTCCCCGAAATTCAGACGACCGAGCCCGCGTCCCACAGTGAGATCTCGTCAGGTAGGACAAATCTCTCGTCTGGATCGGGTGCGTCAACACAATCGGACCCGGGAGCGTGCAGCGAAGACACGTTTTGTTGCAGCCAGGACCGTCTCAAGAAAGGAGGGACACAGCCAAGGTGCCGCTTATCATGACCGGGGAAAATTCATACTGCTGCTAAAGTTGGTGTGTTTGCTGTTAACGGTGGCAAAGCTATCCTCTCAAAGTCCAAGAAAGAAATCGTGGGACTACCAGGGTTGTTCGACGCCGATCTTTTAGCAGAGCTCACTGAGGAAGATCGATTCCTGGGTTCGATGAATAGGGCTATTATCAATAAGGATGTTACCAGCTTCAATAAACTCGGGGCCTACATGGCTCAGTTCTGGCCCAAGGCAGCGGTCATCAATAATTGTGTGATAGTTGACAATAAGTTGGCCATTCCGGAAACTTTGAGGCAAGCCGTGTTCGCCCGTCTCCATCGGTCTCATCCTGGACAAGAGGCCATGATGTCAGCCTCAGAGTACATTTGGTGGCAGTTTTTAAATCGACAGATTGTCGATATCTGCGAGAAGTGCCGCGAATGCAGGTTGTATAGTAAGAACCTTAAGCCTGTTAAAACTTTTCATACCACTCAACCTTTACCTGATTTAACGGCGCCAAATCAGGAATTACAGTTAGATTTTGCTGGTCCTATTTTGGATGAAAAAGGTGTGAAGATTTTCCTCTTAGTAGCTATTGATCGTTTCTCGAAATTTCCATCCGTCCTTATTACGAAAACTACTGGGGCTAAAAAGGTTACTAAATTCCTTAGATCTTACATTCAAATTCATGGATTACCTCATTCTATCAGGACTGATCATGGCTCTGGGTTTAAAAACGATTTAGTACAACAATTTTGTTCTAGTGGAGGTATTAAACATATCCTTTCTCCTGTTGGAGATCATCGAGGTTCTGGTCTCGTTGAACGTATGATACAGACTATAAAACTAAAGTTGGGCACGAAGAAACTTGATCCTAATTTCGCTAATTTTAAAGAGGTACTCCATCGGATAGCAGAAGACATTCGCAAGAGTAATCATTCTACACTTAAGAAGTCGCATTTTGAGTTGCATTTTGGACGTAAGCCAAATACTGAATGGTCACAAGCTTTTCATAATGTCGTTAATTCTTATACTTCAGCACAAAGACTTGAGCGCAATCTCTTAACGCCGGATCAAATTGCTAGCCAGGACTACAGTCGTGATCGTGCCAAGATAGTGCCGAGAGGAAGTGCCAGCCCTCAGATTGCCCCACGTTTCAACCCTATGTTTTCTCTGGAGGGAAATAATGCTGAGAGTGAGCCTTACAAAGCGTTAGCAGATCTTGCTCGGGCGGCCAATAAATGGACACAATACAAGAGAAACCTTCCGCCGGATGGGGGCAAACGAGTCCTTCAAGAGTTGTCGAGTCGTCACTCAGATTTGGCTCATTCGCTCAAAACAGGCCTTTCTCGCCAAACACCTTGTTTTGCGGAGGATCGATCAGTTATCACGCCCCCAGGGGCTCAGGCCAGTGTCCTTCGTTTACCGACTCTACAACCTCGTCGCCAGTCCAAAACAAGTCAATTGGAAACTCTTCTCTTATCCGATTCTAGCCGTGTTAGAGTATTTAGGAAAATTGTAGATTGTCAGTCGGGCAAACCTCTTTTTAAGCTTGCAAAATTCAAGATTACTCGCATTACCGATCACACTTATGTTACTGACAAAGGAAAAGTTTATCAAAAAAACCATGTTTGTCTTAAACCTAACTTCCGTAATAACATTTCAGCAACTCAAAACCCATTAGGTGATCGCCTTCAAACACCAGGACCGTATTTACGAAGTGGAGGAAAAAAGCCAGTTACCCGTTCGTCTCAACCAACTCTGTTAGAGAAACGCCCGGATGACACTAGTGTTTCACAACCGATGGTGGTGGATCTCACTATCGACTCGTCAAGTGAGAGTTCCTCTGGCCAGAATACTCTGCAGTTGGTTCGGGAATCTACCCCAGTGGAGAAGCGACCACGGATACAAGATAACTTGCCGCCAGTCACGTTTGCTGACTCGTCTTTTTCTCTGAATCAGTCTCCAATGGATACTCTCGTTTCTTCCCCGCCTATCACACAGTCTGTTAATCCCACAGTAGCGAATGCCCGTTCTGAGTATTCTTCACCTGCTGATGTCGCTCCAGAGGGTTTTATACCTCCAGACTCATATTCGTCATATCCTTCTCTTTCTCTCCCGGCTCAACCTATAGTGGATGACTCGGAAGCTGTCAGGACCTCATCACGTAGCAAGAAAGCTACTAAATTCTTTGGGGACCCTTGACGGCACTCCGTTAAAATTGTGGAAGAAGACACACTATTGGGGGAGGAGGCAGGTGACTTACCCTCTCAAAGCAATTTTTCGTCCTCGCATTGGCATAGAAGGCCACTTATTCTTGACCAACCCCAACTGGTTACGCCGGAGGCGTCATTCTCATCATTAATTTAAAAAACTCAAGATGAAAAATGACCGTCTATCTATCAAACTATTCAAAACTTTTGCAAAACTTTATATACTCTTTATTTTACCACCTTGCATTTTTGCGGGATAGGGGTGCTATCTATTTAATGCTTCTCTGGGTGCTCTTTGTTGATTACAAAATTTTTGTTTTCTTTCATAAAATTTTTCCCTTCCGCGGCGAATGTCATGAGGCGACCTTCGGTACCTCGTTTATTCATTGCCTTTTTGCAGTCATGCTGCTGATTTCATTACTAGTTGTGTTCAAGGCCACCGGCTTGGCCTATATTGAGTGCCACGCTGTGCGTGGTCACTCTGTTGTTTTGATACATCGTTTGCTAGATGTAAATTAATCCTAAACTTTATTCAATGTTTTCTCTTAGTCAGAGTTTGACTAACAAATATTACATTGGAACCAAGAATCTAAACAACTAATTAATCAATTCACTATTACGAACAACCAAGTTTTGTCCTCTAAATCTTGGCAAATGTCAGGAGTATCACTTTCCAAGAAACAAATTTGTTTTTGCCAATTTTTGAGATTGTAGATCAAAATAGGTTTTTAAAATAAGGGTATTTATTACGCTCAGTTCATGTTAAGTCTACACCAGATCTAATTCATATAAAATCTGGAAAAATTTGACAAAATATTTCTTTCGTTTCATTATTAAGTGTTTGAACTTTTGTTTAGTTCGCTGTCTAGTAGAGTACGTTTGGCTACTCAACAAAACGTCAAAAAACAAATCGACAAACTTTTTTCCTAAGCATTCCAAAAACTTAACTGAATAGTCTCGCCAGTATAATTTGATTTACAGAAAGTGCGGGATCCTAATTTTGCGACTACTTAGTTTTTTGTTGTTAATTCAAAATTAATATTGTCAATTTAGGTTATTTTAGTGAAAAATAATTTCATATCTAAGAAAAACTGCTCGTCTCAGGGCACACCTGTGAACATTCCGAGAGTCTACCAAAAGCGATTCGAGACAAGTCGAGACTGTTTTAGAAAATCGGATCATTCAAATAGAAATAAAGCTAATTAAATAATTGATTTCCTATAGAGTTTCTGGGCGAGGAAAGTCATCAAACTTCTAAGTTTAGAGCTTCACCCTGATATGCAGGGGCGGATCTAGGATTTTCTCGAGGGGGGGGGGGGATGGTAAAAGTTTCTGCGCCGCAGGCAAATTTTTAAAAAAACACTCAAAAAAGCCGTTTTTGGGCGCTTTTTGAAAAAATTTTGACAAAAAAATCGCGTTTTTTTTGGCGCGCGCTCCCCCTCAAAGTTAGTATATATTGGCGCCAAAGGCGCCTTTAGAAAAATTTTAGGGTCGGTGGGCCAAAAATGGATTTCTTAAAAAGTATCAAAGGGGGGACCCTTTGGGTCGGCAGGGGGTCGAATCCCTGAGGAGAAGGAAGAGGGCGTCCGCCCGCCCCGCCCCCCCCCCCCCTAAATCCACCCCTGCTGATATGAGCAGTCTTTTTTTTTTGAAATAACTGGTCTGTTTTTTTTTTATTACCCACACATTCTTTTGCATGTGATGGCATTATTTTTTTTGTAACGATTTTTCGGTTCAAGAGATACGAAACAAATAAGTTAAAAATACGTATCGCCGCCTGGCTACACCTTTTTAACCCATAATTGCCGAGAAGTCATTAATCGAAAGCAAGCAACTCAGATAAATATACTGGCAAAAATTATGGAATTGTATCAAAAAAGGAATGGTCACAAAAAGTTAGCTAAGCTATTGGTAGCTAGTTATTGAAGCTATATCAAGTTCTCCCATCAATATAAGATCTACAAAACGTTTAGAAAAATCAACGATTTAAAATTTTTTTCTTTTTTTTCTTTTTTTTTCTGCACGCAGAGCAGCAGCCGATACAATCCGTGCTTTTTGCTCAGGCGGTGTTGATTTATTCCAATGTGGTGTGATAATACATATTTTTTTTCAGATTCGTCAACTCTCTCCTGAAAAAGTACTTTGGCAACTCTACTCTGTTGCAAGCAGTGGGCAACCACGAGTCCTGTCCAGTGGACTTGTTCGTGCCAGACTACATGGACCCAGAGAAAAAGCCACACCCTATGGCATGGCTATACAACGTCAGCACCGTATTATTTTGAACGCTTTCCAATAATTTACTATTGGATTCCCAGTTTTCCTATTAATAGCTGCCGTTTTTGTTCAATTTTAATAGTTGAAACTAAATTTTCTGAAATATCGTTGGCTTTTAGATTTAATCAAATGCTGAAATTGTTGCAAAAAACGACTGTAACACAATTTTTTCTGCATGAGGCTCAAATAGTTAGCGGTTTTTCATGCTTTCTAAATAATTGAATAGCTTGTACGTTTGTTATGACTACTTATATACAAAGGTAGGGACAAAAATGCAAGCTATTCAAGCCTTTCACGAAAAAGTGATGCAGTTGCTTTTCTTGTAAGCAACGAGTAGGGATCAGGGGGAGAATCGAACCATTGACATGTGGACTGAGGCAGAGACTTTGGCCAGTTCACTATCTCACTGCACTGTTAGTCTTGTTTTGTAGACGTTGGTGGATGAGTGGTCCTGGTGGCTTCCCAACTCCACTTTCGACTCCATCAGAAAGGGGGGCTACTGGGCGTGGGAGTTCATGCCTGGACTGAAGGTGGTGTCCCTGAATGGAGCGTATGGACAGACTGGTGACTGGTACTCCATCGTGAACAACTCCGATTTCAGCGGCATGCTACAATGGACCAGTTAGTCCAAGTTATTTTGTCCAGCCGACAACAAACATCGAGAATAATTTAATTGTGTCCTAGTTTTCAAGTATATATCCAAACCCCAACAACTGCATTTTTTTAATAATGTTCGTTTTAACCACAAAGTGTCATTGTTTGAGTCTGGTAAAGCAATATTAAGAGCAAATTGTTTGCCTCAATTCAGTCTGGAATGATTTATTCTGCTTGTTACCTTTCGACAGGATGAACTACATCGCGCATTACTTATTCCAAATTGGTCAAATTGGCAATTTTCGAACCCCATAAATTTATTACAAATGAGCGTAAATAGCAAGTTTTGGCAGGGCGACAATCGTAGCAGTAAAAAATTCGTGGCAGGCGACCATTCGTAACAAATGTCAATTGGTAACAAGGCATTGGCAAGTAAAATACGCTTGCTCCGCTTCTCACCGCTGCGCTTACACCCGGCATGAGAGGAATACTACGCGCGAATCAGTGTTCCCCGCATAAACTACTGTTACGAATTGTCGCTTGTTGCGAATTGTCTCCTGTTTTAAATTATCGCATCACTAAATTTACTACTTTTTGTGCTCATTCTCAAGGCATAAGTAGTTTCCAAATGAAAGAATTTTTGTCCCCAATCCAGACAAAATTGGCTAGTTAAAAATTGATAAATTATCTGGGAAAAAAAACAACTAGAGCACAAGTATTTTTTGTCGTTTTTCAAAGAAAAATCATAACTATAAAAAATTATATTGTCATCAAAGAATTTGAATAACTGTTTTTCGAAAAATAATAATTTATTTTCTTTGTTAAAAATAGTTTTTCCATATCTGTTGCGAATCATACCAGTCGTCTTAGTTCATTTAATTAGTCTTAAAGTATTTTAACTGGTTACTTCAGATTTTTCCTTGTTATCTTCATTCTCTCCGACGGAGAGAAAGATCGCTCACTTTTCAATGTTTTAATTTAGAGATTAATTCACTTTTTAAACATATCTTATTTTTAACTAAGCAGAAATATCCGTAACAAAGAAACATTTTGTCATGGCGCAGTCAAACAGAAACGAATCAAACTTGAGAGGTATACCTTCATTTTGGCAAAACCACACAGTGGACCCACCAATTCCTTGGGAAGAGTGGAGCGATTTATTCCAACTAGCAATAATCGCAAAGGAGAATATTGATATCGAAAATCTCTTGAATCCATCGGAACGATATCACCCTCTTCCCCCAACATTGGAAAATCCGCCGAAAACAAATCCGACGCTCAAAAAACATCTCGCATTGAGAGGAATAATCGAGAACAAAAGAGGTTCGATGACGAAGAAATGGCCTCAATAAAGTCAGAAACTAAGAAATTCAACGGCATGAGACTTGAAGAGGCGGACAAAAAACTCAGATTCATACTTTATCTAGCCCTCGGAAACGAAGGAAAGAAAATATTCGGCCAAAAGTTCACGAGAGTTAAAGTTCTGCAAAATTCTTTCAAAGAATTTTGGGAAAATTTGTCCATAGCTTTTGTGAGAAAGACAAACATAACCTTCGAAAGACACAAGCTATTAAACAGAAAACAGAGGGACAGAGAATCATTAAAACAATTCTGGGGGCACTTGCAGAAATGGCAAAAACTTGTGACATTCCCACAGGAGAAGATGAGTGGATTCGAGATATTTTTATCAATAACATGAAGAACTCGGACATCCAACGGAAACTTCTCACGGAAACCTTACCTCCACTAAAAACCTTAAATGTAGCCCTGATTGACGAAAAACGAATAACAAACCACATCAAAATGACTAGTACTTTTAAATCCAACGGATACTCTTCCAACAAATCTTTTAATCATTTTAATGTAAAAAGAGAACCCACCCTAAACATCAAAAGAACTAACACATGTATGAAATGCGGCGGAAATTTTACCAAAGGACACCTGGCGGTTTGCCCCGCTAAAGATACGACTTGTACGACTTGTAAATATCGAGGACATTTTAGTAGACTCTGTAAATCACGCCGTAAAATTGTAAATATTGTGGATAGTCAAATTGTAAATAATACAGATTGTAATTATCCTTCGGAACAACCGGATGTAAATATCGACCGCGCTAATAGAGAATGCTGTGGAGTAATAAACGCATGGTCGGAGTCCGGACAGAGCGATAACGATGATTACTCTGTATTAAACGTAACAACTATCTACGACGATCAAGGAAAAGAATTGAAGAAACTATTAAATATTGGCCTAGGAAATGAAAACCAAGTAATTTTCAATATACAGGTGGATTCAACTAGCCCTCTAAGCTTCCTTAAACAGAATGTGTTACACGAGTTGAAGTTACGAGACCCTTATGTGAAAATATATCCAGTGGATAAAGCGACTAAAGAACTTTATTGCGGATTTACGAACAATGCAATAAATAACACTGGAAAGGTAATTGTCCCAAATTTCTCAAATGAATGGTCGCACAAGGAATGCCACTTCTTCCTAACACAAGGTCACGAAAGAAACATCTTGGGAAACGACAATTTACCAAAAGTCGGAATCGAAGTTTCACAAAAACAATACACAACACTCACCAACAAGAGAACTTGTAAGTCTATCAATTCAGTTACCTCACTAGACATAGATAATGAAAAGACATGATTTCCAAAACTTTCAAACACTTATTCCTTCGGATTGGAAAAATAAAAAATCAAACAAAAATAACCCACTTTCACGAACCACTAAAGCCAATTCAACTAAAAGGCAGGAGGGTCCCTTTACACTTACTGGATTCAGTGAAATCAGAATTGTACAGACTCAAATCCGAAGGACATATCAAAAAATTAGAAAACGGCGATGAGGACAGATTTATTAGTCCGATAGTTATCACTTGTAAAAAAGACAAATCGATAAAGCTAGCCCTAGATTCAAAATTTATCAACAAACAAATTTACAAGAACAAATACCAGATACCCAATATACACGAATTAGTGGATAATGTAGCGGCTCAAATTTCAAACAATTCCGCCGGAGAAGTATGGTTCACCAATCTAGACCTAAAGAATGCATATAGTCAACTTTCGCTAGACAATTTTACTAGCAGCCAATGCAATTTTAGCCTAGTTGGCGGAGATATAACAGGCACTTATCAGTTTTTAACCGGTTTTTACGGACTCGGCGATATGCCAAACGAGTTTTAAAGAGTCATGGACTCAACTCTGGGAAATATTCCTTTTACAAATTGTTACCTTGACGACATATTAGTCGCTTCCAAAGGAAGTTTTAATGACCACAAGAAAATTGTCTATAAAATTTTATCAAAGCTAGATAGTTACAATTTCGCAGTTAAATGGTCGAAATGCAAATTTTTCCAAAAAGAAATCGAATGGCTCGGCTTTAAAATATCGGGTTAGGTGCATCCCTTGAATAACTCCATGAGAACGTTTGGAAAACAGTGTCATTCGCTTCAAGATTTTTAAATCTTCATGAATCCAAATATTCAACAAACGAATTAGAGCTATTAGGAGTTGTATGGGCGGTGGAACATTACAAAAAAACTATCTCTACAGCTCTGAATTCGAAATCATTACCGATCACAAAGCTCTCCTTTCCGCTTTGTCACCTAATCACGGAAACAAAACGTATCATAGCCGATTGACAAGATGGGTAGATCGCCTCTTACCATTTAATTTTACTATAAAGCATTTAGCGGGAAAAGATATGGGTTTTACCGACTTAATTTCAAGAACTCCTTCGGGTAAAGCAATTCCCCCATCACATTACGACGAAGAATTCGTAGTTGCAACTACCAAAAAAATATATAACGCACTCAATCCTTTGGATAACGAAAATTCATTACGTAATTCAATTAGTTCATAATCGGAAAATTCCCATTACACAAAATTACGAAACCACGTAATAATTACAGCGTTGAATTTCGTCAGTTCTTCCTTTTCAATCTGCAATCAAAAACACTACAGAACAGAATTTTGTAACTCTAAATGTATTCCCTCGGATTTCTCAAGCACAGACTTCACTAAAATCTTTCTATCAAATTCAGCCTTTATTCATTTTTTAATTCTTAATAGTAGCTTAATTAGTAATCCTTCGGATCTTAAACTTATAAATAGTGTAAATATGTCAAATAACTAAATTGTAGTAAATCCTTTCACTTCCGGGATACAGGTCTCAATCGATTTCCAAATTTCCTCAGAGCACAAAAAGTTAGTAACTAAATTTCGCGAAAATCTCAAATTAACTGAAAGACCTTTGGATTTAAATACATTATTCAATGCAAAGTTGGTCGCATTACTAACGGAAGATGATGAGATGCTAAACCCAGTTGTGGAAGGCTTTACAGAAAAAATTAAAAAACATCAACGCAAATTCCCGTTACTTTCACCAATTTTCGAAAGACCTTCATGAATCCGACGGACTTTTATATATGGATGGAAAATTAGTTATTCCTTTTACACTTCGAAACGCCGTTTTAAAAACCTTACACAAATCTCACCCTGGCCAATTCGGTATGAAATACCTGGCACAATATATTTGGTGGCCTCATATAAACCGACAAATTTACTTCCACGGGGTTAACTGCACACAATGCACCCAAAATGGTAAGAAAATAAAAAGCATCATACCTACCACACAAATTAGCGAACTTCACCCTTTTTTTGAACCTAATGAGGAATTAAACCTTGATTTTGCCGGCCCATTAGATAACATCTGGGGAAACAATAAATACATCTTATTATGTATAGATCGTTTTTCAAAATTTCCATCAGCTAAAATTACATCTTCAACGTCATCAAACACGGCAATCGAATTCCTTCAAGATTATTTTTATCTCCGTGGGATTCCTAACTCTATTCGTGTTGACCACGCATCCTGTTTTACTAGTCAGGATTTTAAATTATTTTGTAATTCTTTTAATATCAAATTAATATTTTGTACAGTTGGGGACCATCGTTCTACTGGTCTTGTATAAAAACTTGTTCATACTGTAAAAATCAAATTATTAGCAATGTCTTTAGAACAACAAAAACCTACATTACAAACTGCCATCTCGAAAATCATTTGGAATTTACGATCTTCCTTTCAATCGAAAATAAAATGTTCACCGTTCGAAATATACTTTAATAGAAAACCGAACACGATCTGGAAGCAATTGGCATCTAGTAAATTATCCGGTGGATTTTTAGACAAAGGGAAATCGATCTTAAGCAGAGAAAGGGCCCTTGACTGGAACGCTGACGATCGGATAGAGGACGGATACAAAGACTCTCTTGTACCGAAAAAGAACCAGTCTTCATTGGAGAAAGGCTACGATTCGGACCATCTTACAACTCCAAAACCTTCATCTTCCCGAGTGTCCCTAAACAGCCCGTTTAAAGTTAATTTACTACGAAAAACCAATGGAAGTATAAACGGAAATCCCTTCTATAAACAACTGGGTCAGAAAATAATAAACTCAACAAAATCCACGGTTGAACTATCCGACGGAAAAATCATTAGAAAATTGGACATCGCCATCCCAAAGTCTAAATCTTCTACAATCCGTTCATTCAAAGGAAATATCTTTTTTGCCTCCTTTTCTAACATTGATTTACAAGTAGGTCCAAGAAAGACCAACAAATCGAAGCCACAACAGACGCGAAAACCAGGTCCTAAGACAGGACGGCATACAGAGTCTCTCACCCCGGTCACCACCAGATCTAGAGGAATAAAACAACCTACCAAACTCAACAAATCGAAACTAAACCGAAATAAAGCCTCGACTTCGAACACAGGATATTTAGCAGGTGATGAATCCATGTTCATTCCGTCAGATACGTCCGATATTAGTGATTTGGAATGGATTGCGGGAGGTTTTCCATGCAGAGAAATGATAAGAAAACGCTTCATTTTGGATAACCACATTTTTAACGATGAACCTACCCCATCATTAGATCCTCAAACATATCAAACTAATATAAAATCTGAGATTTTAGACGAACAACTTCAATCTACGGATACAGCGGAATGCCCAATTAGTATAAAACCAGCACCTCAAACTACCTCACACCCACCTGGCGAACTTTATACTGCTACGACAACGGAGGGCCCGAAAACTCCGTTGGATTCAACAAAAGAACCGGAGGGAGAAAATCCGGTCGAATTTCCAGTCTATGAGATAGAAGACTCCTCTGACGAAATTACGATTACTGAGGAAAGGCATCTAAAGGAAAACACTATCACCGGTAATGATTTTAAATTAAGACGTTCGAGTCGAAATATTGGACCCCCACAATTCTATGGTAAACGATTTTACATAGATATTATAGACGAGATCGAAAACCAACCAGGCTCCGCAAATAATCCAATATCTCTTGATGAGGGCTACAGTTCGGGCTCCTTCACACAAACCATCAGAGAGAATCCCTCGGATAACCAGGCACACATTTGCGACATTCAAACGGAGGACCGTGCACCGGGCCCAGCGTGCTCCCCATCTTCTGATCAAATCTCCATTGCCTCCACTGACGAGTCCCTGAGAGATGCGGTGAATAGTTCGACAACTACATAGACTTAGACAGCGAAATTTTTAACGCCGAGCTAGAAAAATTCATGGAAGGAGACAATTAAACTAAATCAAAAACTTGAAAACTCGCATTTAGACATTGATAGTCTTACTAGTGTTTCGTTTCAGCGCAGTTAGAGTTTACTTATTTTGTAACCATGGATTATAATCCGCCGGAATTAGTTCTAATTCAGTCATTCCTTCGGAGCACTAAATTTTCATTTGTTATATCGTGCAGTATTTAATTTTCAACCCTTGTTGGACTTCTCGAGAGGGAGAAAAAGGGTTGGATAACATGTTACGTATTATGGCGCTTAGTACTTTAATTTTTTTTCCCACTAAGGGGAATGTTGCGAATCATACCATTCGTCTTATTTCATTTAATTAGTCTTAAAGTATTTTAACTGGTTAATTTAGATTTGACCTTGTTATCTTTATTCTCTCCGACGGAGAGAATGATCGCTCACTTTTTAATGTTTTAATTTAGAGATTAATTCACTTTTTAAACATATCTTATTTGTAACTAAGTAGAATTATCCGTAACAAAGAAACATTTTATTAAGCACAAGTATTTTTTGTCGTTTTTAAAAGAAAACGCAAAAGTATAAAAATTTATATTGTCATCAAAGAATTTGAATAACTTTTTTTCGAAAAATAATAATTTATTTTCTTTGTTGAAAATAGTTTTTCCATATCAGTGAAACTTTCAAACAAAAAGTCGATTTACATTAATTGATGATATGCAATGAACAGAAAATATATTCACGACACGCGCACACCTAAACACAACAAGACAGCGTGCATATCAATAGTTAGCATATCAATAACGAATAGTTTTTTGTGGAAAAAAATATTGAAAACCTATACATTTTGGACAATATCTAAGCGTTAAATTTTGATTCGTTCGAATTTAATTCGACCAATTAGCAGCTAGCCTCAATTCAGTTTGGAATTGTTGTTCTGGATAATTCACCACTCATCAATAATTCGCGTTATACGCTCTCAGCATTATTAATAAACTCTTTAAAGCGCGCATAATTTAGTCCAGAACATGAAAAATTTGGCAAATTTCAAACCCCCAAAACATTACAAAAAAATAATCCGAGGTGAAATATATTTCTACATTTGAACTCAGGAAGTCGATATCTTCAATGGGGCTTAAAAAACTTTTGTTGAAAATAATTACTTCGATCGGTGAAAATTGACTGAACAAAAAAAACCACACTGAGCATAAATATTCCGTTTTCTTCGAAAGTCGGAAGAATTAAGAATAGGCTTTCAAAGAAATCAAATTTTAAAGCTCATTGATGTTCCATATTTCCCTGGCAGTACGCAATTCAATATACATACGTATGTGAATGAGTTCAGGAGCAGCCAAAGGATACAGGACCCAAATAGCACAATAGTCTTTGTTTTGACTATAACAGTTAAGACGGAAGCTATATGCCAGGCAGTAGCGTGCCGAGGGGGCTGGCGGGGAGAAACCGCCCCCTCCCTCTCAATTCTGTTTGCCAAATTTTCTCAAAAGGTCCCCCCATTGGTATAACTACGACATCAATTTTTTGCTGACCAACCTGAAAATGTTTCTTCGGCGCCAATAAAACTAATTTTGAGGGTGAAGCGCACGCCGAAAAACGCAATTTTTTGGCCTGTTTGTTAAAAAATTTGCTTTGATAAAATAGGGTCCTTTTAGTATTTTCGGAGAGCTCGGAAAGTGAAATTGATCGACCTACAAAAAAGTAGACACAATTGTTGAGTGACAATTCATTATGAATCTCGTATATACTTAGTTTGTGATAACAGTTTCGCTCTTCTTCTTCAGTCGATGAGCTGCAGGACTGTGAGGACAGGGGCATCAAGGCATGGCTGATCAGTCACCACAGAGAGTTCAGTCTGCCCTACTACACAAACCAGTAATCACCTTTCATCTCTCTTCTGGAACATTGAAAAGCATCAAACTTGCTCACATAACTATTTGCATCCATTCTTCTGTGGAACGCTTTTGTAAAGAAAAAATGTGTGACCACAAAGGAAAACAGAAAGGAAAAACAGAAAGTTATTGATCTTGAGATATTTTCTAAAATGTACACTAAGTATTCGCGTGTCGTGCGATTCATGTTTCAACGGGGCGGATCGAACACATGCAAGAATTCAACCGAAAAACCATAGCCGAGGAGGCCGTAAAGTGAAGCTCAAAGTCAACACATAAGGTCGGCACATAGGAGTCGAACAAAAGTCGAAACATAAAATGGAGTCCGCGCGAAGCACAAAGTCGAACACGAAGTCGGAACATAACAGTCGAACTCAGTATTGAAACTTACAGCCGAACACATATTTGCAGCTTTGTCAAAATCAAAATCAAACTCATAAAGTCGCGCGTTCAAGGCAAAATTGAACCCAAAAAATTACGGGAACTTAGATTTTTTTGTCGGATTTTAGCTTGTAAAACTGTAAAACAGTTACAAGAAGCACAATAATTTTTCTTGTTTTTTCATTTTTTTTTGCAAAAATTGTTATGAATTTTGTAGTTTTTTTTCCAAAAATGGTGCGAAAAATAAAAGAAACTTTTATTAGAAAAAAAATTAAGTTTTCATGGTTTATCCTTCTATAATAAGCCTGCTCGCTCGCTTTATTCTCTCGAAATTAGACTCAAAACTGAAAACTTTCAAACAGTTTTTTCTCAAATTTGGGACAAACGTTTGAACATTTGTTAATGTAGTTCGAATCAAACCTGAAAAGGCTTTATTTTGATAAATCAATTCACCCTATACTTTGATTGTTTTGCGAATTGTTTTCGGTGAAAAATAACTTACTTTTTTTAAACATGAATTTCATTTTTTTTCAGATTTTTTAGTGTCGTGCGAAGCATGATTGAAAAGGTTTGAATATTGCGTGGAAAGTAACAAAAAAAAACAAAAAAACCTTGACACACCCGAATACATTGTTCCTTTCCAATGGTCGATGACCAAAGAATGTAGAAAAAAAACATAGATCAAAGCTAAAATATCCAAATACAAAAATGCAAGAAGCAAAATTAGCTATTTTACATCTTTTATTTTGCAGTTAATCAGACCAGCCTTATTGCTTGTCTCTTACAGGATCCTCACGAGAAGGCCTGCACCTGGTTTCAAAGTAAAATGTAAATAAATTTTTAAAGGACAAAACAAAACCGTCTCTAAAAAATTTGAACTCTAGAAACCAATCAAAGAATAATTCCTTTGAAAAACCTGTGATCCCGATTAAATATATTTGTTCGTCAACTCTTTTTTATCGGAAAATGTCTCCAGCAGTCGAACTCAGTCGAATTGTTATACCTCGGTCAAACACAGTCAAACTTTTTGATCTCGGTTGAAAACTTTTTCATTCGAAAAAACTCCATGGTCAAACACTGCTCTCGAAATGTTTTTTTTTTCGGTCGAACTCAATTAAAATGTTTTGCATTTCTTGGTCAAACTTTGTCGAAATATATCAAACACTGGTCCGGGTCGAGACGGTTGAAGCATAGCAAGCTTGGGTCGAGACGTTCAAAACAAACCAATCGTTCGCCGATTCGGTCGAAAAAAACCGCAAACCTCGACCCCAATTAACTGGAGCCGATAGCATGACTTTAAAAGTTATACATTTTGATTGTGCTTACAACTGAGTTGCAAAGGTGCAAAACTATTACTAAGATTAGATTTTTTCTACAACGTTTATCAGTTTTCACGAAGGTTAAAAATTATCGCTAAGATTGAAATTAATATATACGGTTAAAAGTAGTCACTAATTTGATTTTCAGGGTCGACAAGATTATGCAGCGATACGTGAACACAATCAGGGGCTGGTTTAATGGACACACTCACACAGATGACCTGACAGTGTACTACGACAACAGCAGCACAGAAGCAGCCCCCACCCCTGTTCTGACGGCCTTCACCGCCCCCAGTGTGACCACTTACTCCAACTCTAACATGGGCTACAGAGTGTACTATGTGGACTCGAAGAGAGAAAACGCCACCTTCTTCGTCGCAGATCACACCACTTACTATCTCAATGTCACCAAAGGTAGACGACACTGACCTCCGTATTGGAACTTAACCATCAGTTTAACTAACCCCGAAGCACCAAGTGAACAATCTCCCCCCTAAATCAAATTAGGGAGGAAAACGTTCACTTGCTTAAAAGTAATATTTTTCAGCCAGTCGGATTTGAGCAAAGTACATGCAGGCCTTACTGCTTGAATTTGTTATTTGATTTTAAGGGGGGGGGGGAGATTGTTTTCACATGGGCCAACCCGAACACTGAATGTCCGGAAGAAATTAATTAATTTCACCCCAACGCTGATTCGCCATTTTTAAGGTAGCAAAAGGGTAGATTTTGCAGTGAATGAGAGCTTGAAGTAAAACTTAAATGAAAAATTCCTAATTTCTATTTTTTCCATGCCTACTCAGTTTCAGAACAGAAACGCCGGGAATTGTAAAACTAGTTTTAAAAAAAATCTTGTAAAAAACCGGCCATTTTTGTTGTTCAAGCCACGCAATGAAGTCCTTTTAATGTGTTTTTGTTGACAGCAACAGAAAAGTTAGAAAAAAATCAAATCTTTTTTCCGACCATTGAAAATGGGGAGGAACTTTGTATTCGGATGTGTTTTAATTTTCTTTCCACGCCAAACCAGGTGCCACAAATAATGATCGGACTGGGTTGTGTCGTGATTCGAACCACATTGAAAATTTCCGAAAAATTTTCCCAGTGTCGAGAAAAATCTGTTAGAAATTTTTGATTTTTTTAGTCTTATTTCGAGCGAATAAAACAAGCGAGCAGGCTTTTTTTGTTCTCCACGCAAAATCACGTGCCACAATTAATTATCGGAATGGGTCGAGTGATATATCAGATTAAAGCCCTTGGTGATTTGAACGACATTAAAAAATTTACAATTTTTTCTTAGTGTCGAGAAAAACCGGTTTGAAATTTATGATTTTTGGTCTAATTTCAAACTAATATGGTGTGACTGACGGTATATGCTTACAATAGTTTATGAAGGCTATTTTAAAGCCTTGAAAACTTAGTGTCGCTCACATATTTGAATGTAACTGTTGCTTGCAGCCAAGTTGACAGGACAAGTGGTGTGGGAGGAGGAGTACAATCTGAAGGAGGCATACAACATGACAGGGGCACTGCCCTCCGACTTCGATGACCTCCTGACCCGAATGACAACGACGCCTCTTCTGGCCCAGAACTACCTGTGAGTAAAATTAACTCAAAGGAACTTTGGGAGTCTCTGGGAAATCTACCCAAAAAGAACTACAGCTTGAACTTTATCTTCTCTGATGAACTGTTTTGTAATTATGTGATAGCATCCATTATTTAGCATGTCACTTTCTATTGTAATGAGAGAAATTTTTTCTTTAAGGGCTCATTAAGTTCAATTTGCCTAACTTTTTCTTCTTGACGCAAACGCTTTCGAATTAACACAATCATATTCTTCGTGAGTTTTCTCAAAAATTTAATTCATAAATTTTCACAAAAACATTATTCCGTCATTTTTTGTCGAGCAAAAATTGCTTCAATTTCAATAAAAACCAATTCAGGAAAAACGCACTGCCATGTCAAGTTTCGGCATAGTTATTAAACTAGTTTTCTATTTTAATGCACTAGGTACTTTGGGCACAAGAAGGCCCACAATGTGACGTGCGACCTAGCATGTGCCCAGGATCAAGCTAGCAGTCTAAAGCACACTTACCTGCCGGATCCACCCACACACTGAAAAGAAAAGAAAAGAAAAGAAAAGAAAACGAAGCCGAGGGAGACGAGAACGATAAAACAACAGACTCGAATTCAATCTATTTTTTGAATTTTGTTAACTATCCCCCATTATTGCAAATGCGAAGGAATTCGTTTAGGGCACTAACTTCATTTATGTTTAGACGCTAAACTAGTCCTTAGAGAGAAAGAAAAAAATTAGCTAAGTTTCAAAAGGAGAATGTGGGGAAATTATATTGTTAACAGAATTCAGTTTGTTCAAAACTTATAGAAAATTAACCAGGCAGGTGCGACATTTTGAAGTTAAGAGCACCACCCAAAACAAAATCATGTTTTCAGTTCCATATCAGTTATATTTGGTTAGATAACTTTATTTATTTAGTGATTTCTGTGTGATTTGAGTAAACATAATTGTGCGAAGTTTCCACCAGAACCAACTCATCAGTTTTGATATGAAGAAATTGAACATCCGGCTAGAATTATAATAAATTGCGAGGCAACCGGTCGTTGTAATCTAACTGTTAACATGATGATTAGAACTTTGCAATAACTACAGAAGTTTGAAGCAAATCAAAATGCATCAAATTATTTTATTTTGAACACTGGGGTGTGCAGGTACTTTGTGAGGCAGAACTCAAATTTCCATTTCTTGACTGCTGAAAAATGTTTGAGGACAGTCAATGTTTTTTCTTAAGTTCTACTTAGAGTTTTGAGAGATATCATTTTCGGCTTCTTTAAAATAACGACTACCAAAATTTGTCACAATATAAAATAGTAACAAAACATTACCTTTGAGAAAAAACTTGTCAGCCTGAAAAAGGGAAAAAGTGGAAATATTTCATAAAAGACTCATTGAATGCACGTTGATAGTTTCAGCAAATGATACTTCAATATTCAAAACACTGGAAATAAAATATGCTGGAATGCTATAGTCAGTTTTAGACAGCTGGAAGGACGTTGCTTAAAAAATTGGCCTGAATAAGAAAAACCATCCCGAGCTAAAGTCGGAAAAAAATATTGTTTGAACAAGCGAAGCTAACAAATGCAGTATATATACGTACAAATGCATCATTTTGAGCGTTTAAGGCTTAGAACACCAAAATGCTAGCTTAAGTGTTCAACTTTTGGCACTATAAATGTTTAGGTCAGCCAACGATTAAGCCATTGAATGACAAAAAAGTCGTATAAAGATCCCACCTGCGCCTCTTAAAACAAACTAAATTCAATTTTTGAATGCGTAGCAACATACTCAGAAGAGCCCGCATTAAGATCATAGGAGTCACCTCCGTAAAACATGTTTGAAACAGAATTGAATGAAACATAACTTATGAGACACAAGAAACAACAAGTTTCTAATGTCAAACAAGACTGCTCGTATCAGGGCAAAGCCCTGAATGTTCAGACTGCCTTTTAAGGTCTATGGAGCAGTAATAACATTTAAAAAGTTAAATATAACAAGACTGCTCGTATCAGGGCGAAGCCTTGAATGTTCAGACAGCCTTTTAAGGTCTATGGAGCAGTAATAACATTTAAAAAGTTAAATATAACAAGACTGCTCGTATCAGGGCGAAGCCTTGAATGTTCAGACTGCCTTTTAAGGTCTATGGAGCAGTAAAAACATTTAAAAAGTTAAATATAACAAGACTGCTCGTATCAGGGCGAAGCCTTGAATGTTCAGACTGCCTTTTAAGGTCTATGGAGCAGTAATAACATTTTAAAAGTTAAATATAACAAGACTGCTCGTATCAGGGCGAAGCCTTGAATGTTCAGACTGCCTTTTAAGGTCTATGGAGCAGTAATAACATTTAAAAAGTTAAATATAACAAGACTGCTCGTATCAGGGCAAAGCCTTGAATGTTCAGACTGCCTTTTAAGGTCTATGGAGCAGTAATATTATTTAAAAAGTTAAATATAACAAGACTGCTCGTATCAGGGCGAAACCTTGAATGTTCAGACTGCCTTTTAAGGTCTATGGAGCAGTAATAACATTTTAAAAGTTAAATATAACAAGACTGCTCGTATCAGGGCGAAGCCTTGAATGTTCAGACTGCCTTTTAAGGTCTATGGAGCAGTAATAACATTTAAAAAGTTAAATATAACAAGACTGCTCGTATCAGGGCGAAGCCTTGAATTTTCAGACTGCCTTTTAAGGTCTATGGAGCAGTAATAACATTTAAAAAATTAAATATAACAAGACTGCTTGTATCAGGGCGAAGCCTTGAATGTTCAGACTGCCTTTTAAGGTATATGGAGCAGTAATAACATTTAAAAAGTTAAATATAACAAGACTGCTCGTATCAGGGCGAAGCCTTGAATGTTCAGACTGCCTTTTAAGGTCTATGGAGCAGTAATAACATTTAAAAAGTTAAATATAACAAGATTGCTCGTATCAGGGCGAAGCCTTGAATGTTCAGACTGCCTTGTAAGGTCTATGGAGCAGTAATAACATTTAAAAAATTAAATATAACAAAACTGCTCGTATCAGGGCAAAGCTTTGAATGTTCAGTCTGCCTTTTAAGGTCTTTGGAGCAGTAAAAACATTTAAAAAGTTAAATATAACAAGACTGCTCGTATCAGGGCGAAGCCTTGAATGTTCAGACTGCCTTTTAAGGTCTATGGAGCAGTAATAACATTAAAAAATTAAATATAACAGGACTGCTCGTATCAAGGCGAAGCCTTGAATGTTCAGACTGCCTTTTAAGGTCTATGGAGCAGTAATAACATTTAAAAAGTTAAATGTAACAAGACTGCTCGTATCAGGGCGAAGCCTTGAATGTTCAGACTGCCTTTTAAGGTCTATGGAGCACTAATAACATTTAAAAAGTTAAATATAACAAGACTGCTCGTATCATTTTAGCTCAGGAAAACAAAACCTTTCGAATGATATAAAAAGATTCCGCCAAAAATGGCTAGTTAAAAAGTCGAAATTTGTCTGAAGAAAAAAAAAACCCACCCGAGCACAAATATTCCGTTACTTTCGTATCGAAAGTCGGAACAACAATTAAAGTTTCTCAAGTAGTTGTCAAAATTAAAATGTGGATTAGTTTCAAAAACAATTTGTGTTAACTCAATGTAAAAACGAAATAATTTAACCGCAATATGTCAAAAACACGTCAAAAATTTAGCTTGCTTTGGATTTAAAAAACCTAATTTGATATCTGCTATAAATTTATTTACTGAGGATTAACAGACCCATGAAACAAGAAGTTTTATGTGTCAGAAAAAGTTGTTCTAAGCGCAAAATATTAGGATTAAGAAAAGAATGAAGTGGCATGAATGAAGCCGTACAACTCTGAGGCACGTTGATTTGCTAGATTTTAGTTTATTTGAATGGAAACTAATTCTAAAAACTATAGAGTTGATCCATTTTGGTGTAATTTCTTAAGTTTCTTTTAGCTGTGAAATTTTAAATTGTGCTTAATTGGAAGTTTTCAGCATTTTGATTGATTAGATCGATATGATTATACTTGTGTTTGGGGCAATCGACATGAAATTCATACAGTCAAAAAACATTGACGGTGATTTCTATTGGAATTGTGGTAGTGCAGTTGCAGTAACTTTGATGTTATCTATATTATTATATTTTCTTTATTACTGTCAAGGCCATATGTGCCGATGTAAAAGAAAAGGACTGCACGCAGAAAAAAAAATCAAGCCAGAAGATCTGAGCTTTAGAAAAAAATAGAACGATATTCTAAATTATTTTCCTGGTACTCTTAGTCTTACATAAAGTAGTTATTAGAAGTTCCTGAGGTTATCATTTGGCACAATCAGCCGAATTCTTGTCTCAAGACAATCAAACCGATATGAAAACTTTCTTTTTTTAAACTACGGCTAATTCTGATCAATCACAGAACTTTAAGATATGTTTTGACCAATTTCTTCTAGCAGCGAATCTAAGAGAAGCGTGAACCCAGAAATACTGCTGGAGGATCCAAAAAAGTCTAGAGGAACGAACCATTACCGAGAACAGAAAAACCCAGAACATGCAGAGATGCGGTTGGTGCCGCACCTCGAGGCGCAAAAGATAGATTGACGGAGGACACTGTCCTGCTCGAGAACAAAGAAAGAAGAGAAAGAGTGCTAAAAATGGGCCATAACATAAATTACAACGCCGTTCAGAAAGGACTAGTTTCCGAAATATTCCTAGCACTAGGAACAGAAGGAAAGAAATGGTTTGTTCAAAAAAATCTGCATGTGGAAATTTGAGAATAGATTTAAATGAAATCGTAAAATTGAAACAAATTGGTTCGAAAAAGTGTTTCGTACGAACGATATAACTTTTTCAATAAATGGCAAGAATTGGTAGAAACGCTTAAATCATTTCATGCAGGACTAACTGCTCAAAACTGGGTATGCTTGAAAATGAAATTCTCCGAGATCTATTGATTTCGAAGATAGGGAATATCTTAAAACAAGATACACTGACATTCGAGACACTGTCACAGGACGAAGTAGTGAAAAGAGCTCTGAAAGTCATAAACAGAACAAACAGCCAACTCAAGCGTTTCAAATGTCAAAAGCAAGCACTCGCTCTACAAGCTACTTTGCGTAATCCCATTAAAGATAAAACAAGAGCCTATAATGGCAGTTCGAAATCGAAGCCAGAGCAAGCAATAGACGAAAAAACAGAGACCAGTATAGAAAGAAACTTGCCGATGAGAAGAATAATATTAGAAACACTTCGGTAGAGTCCGTGTAACAGGATGGGCAGAACATTTTCAGAGGAACATTCGAAGAACTGTCCGGCTATAGTTAAATCATGTGAAAACTGACTGCAATAAGCCCAATCACGTTGCAAAAATATGCAGCAGGATGAGGAAGTGACAGAGGTCGCAGGTGAAAAAACCATAAAACCATTCAGCGATCACCTTTTGAGGCGTACTTCGGTCGCCTACCAAAAAATGAATTTAAGAATATAAGAGATTAAATACTAAAAATTTTTGATCTTTTAGATAAACAGCATAAACGGTAAACGGATGATGGGATGCGGAATAACTGGAGTCGGCTAGCACTCACATTTAAAGAATTG